CTCATCAACCATGAGAGCCCTATGTGGTCGTGCATTGTCGTTCATAAAAATGAACTCAGGGCCAACAGCGTCCCTTAACAGACGCACATATGGCTCTAGGACCTCCTGCCTGTACCTCTGGGCATTCACGGAACCATTGTCAAACACATGGAGCGGTGTGCAGGTATCTTGCATGATCCCTGCCGAAACCATGAGTCCTCCACCAGCATAATAGTCCCTTTCGATAATGTTGCTGGGATGGTATCGGGTTCCAGGTTCCCTCCATATCAATAACCGTCCAGAAATAGCGTTATAGAAGAATATAGCGTCATAGAAATGTGCGAAAATGCTTTTCATCTCTTAATTTTGTCCACCAGTGTAGTGAAACCGAAGGAAATGGAAAACTAATTCATTAAAAAAAAATTTTTTTAAAAATCACCAAAATATTGTCGCCTTAATTAATTTTCGTATTAAATACTAACTGGAAAAAAAAACTTCGTACTTAAAAAAGAAAGAAATGGTACTAATTCGTTCAGGGAAAAAAAAAAGCCTTACCCTTTTTAATGCCACAGTAATGTTCAATTAATTTCGGTAATCTGAACTAATTGAATTTAAAAAACATTATAATCTTCGTACTGTAAACCAATATTAAAGAAAAAAAGATACTAATTTGTTTAGGAGAAAAGTGAAAAAATTGTCACATTTTTTTTGATGCTCAAGTCATTTTGGTAATAAGTGCTATTTGAAATTAAAAAAAAAAAATTATAAGCTTTTGCACTGTAAACCAAAATTAAAGAAGAAAAGATACTAATTTGTTTAGGACCAAAGTAAACTATGTATTAAAAAGCGAAACTGATGGAGAAATGACACTAATTCTTTTAGGAGAAACGTAAAAAAATTTTCATACTGCTATTGAAGTCAATGATGTGTAATTAATTTTGGTGATATGATATGCCCTGTTTGTATTATGATAATTAATGTAAATTTTAAGAGGCACCAAATATATCAATATAGGAACAAAGCATTTTATGGGTAAATTTGGTGCCTACAAAAACCGCAAGAATACTGGGCATTTTTATTGTAGATCAGGGGTTTCCAACTTACATGAGGCCGGGGGCCATAATTAAAAACACAAATCAAATGGCGGGCCGTAACTTTATCAAAGTATAATGTAGGACTCTTTTATGCTTTAAGGAACATTAAATATTACTGTCAGATATTTTCCAAGTTGTACAAAAAAACGTATTGAATTACAAATTAAAATAAAAAGTAGATTTCTAAAAATATTTAATTGTTATTAACAATATTTTTAAAAATATTAAATAAATAATAAAAATTTGGGCTACAATAACTTTAATGTGCACCTATGTATTAAACAATTAATGTGCAACCTATATCTAATTGTTAAGATATAAAACCTTAAAAAATTTGGTATTAAAACTTGCATAGTAGCACACAAAATATTCAATGAGAAAATTGAGGTTTGTCTGCTGCAACCACCAGAGAATAGATATTTACATTTTAAATTTAAAATTTACAAATGTGTGTGTAAATATTTTCGTCCAAAATGAGTGGTTTCAAAAAGTTAAATCGGAGAATTTCTTCGAGAAAATTTCTGATACACACATGCTAAATTATATTCACAAAATACAAAAAAATGAAATAAAAAAGAGCAACATACACGATTATTTTTGTATTTGAATAAATATTTTCTTGGATGCAAAACCTGAGAAATAAATTTCTTTGCACCGTTGGTATGTTAAATTTCACAGAAACGAAGAAAGTAGGTTTTTATGAACGAGAAAAGTATTTTAAACCCATATAGATTTTTTTACGAAAATTGTCCGCAAAAAAATGACAACTAAAATATTTTAGTTCGTGGGCCACAAAAAAAGGCTTCGCGGGCCGGATGTAGCCCCCGGGATGCCAGTTGGTAACCCCTGTTGTAGATCCTGTTGAAATAAGTTTCATACGGCCCCTCAATTGTATGAATACGTGTTTTGTTAATTCTAATAATGTAAAGTCACCGAAAAGGGCAACGAATAATAATAAATCAAGAAGACACTGAAATTATTTAATCTTTTTTAATCGTCGTATTTGTGTTTCAGTTTTGTACATAATTTCGTAGTTTTGCTTAGCATTCATTTTGATTTATTGATTCTTTTCTTCCCCCCCACCCCATATGAAGAACTGGTATCCAGCTAGTTTTTGCATAATATTATTATAAAATATAATTTAATGCATAAAAATATCACAATAAGCTCAACATTTTAAACCATTAAATTAATTTTTTAATTATAAATCAATTAAACTATTTTTCAAATTTTCAAAACGGTTTGAAAATAGATTTTTTAAAAATAATATTGAAATGTATAGTCAAATAAATAAGATAACTTTTTAATCCTTTTTCTTTAATAAGTCAACAGCATAATAAAAATTCCATTAGTATACAGAATTGAGTGGTTAAATAAAAATATGTGTATGCATACACAATAATAATGATAATGAATATTCTCTTAAGCAAATAAAATAAAGTTTCGGTTAAACCGGAGATTCGACATAAAATTATTAACAAATACAACAATAATAAAATAATCTCCAATCATGTACAATATTTAAAAAGTAAATTAATAATTAGATTTTGGCTTAACATATAACCATGATACACAAACAATGAATAAATACTGTTCTTAAATTTTCATTACTCATTATAATAAAATATTTTGGATACATTAATTGCGTATATTTTAAAGAATAAACAAACAATCGAAGAATCATTTCAAACTCTATGCACAAATAGAACATTTTTCAGAAAAACTGCATTATATATATATTCTTAGTGAATAAAACTACAATAAAAATATTTGTCAGAATAACAATAAGTATTCATTAAAATCAGCGATAGACAAAAATGAATTAATAAAAAATGACTCTTAAGTTGTATTTTAAAATTTTGACTCGGTAACAACAGAATAAACACAGAAAAATAAAGCAAACTTTTTTCTGAATTGATTGTGAAATTAAGATTAAGTGTTTTGAAGATTTATCGTTTTATTCATTGAAACGAAAATCTGTCGTCATTGAATCTTGAAGAATATATAAATCTTCATTTTCAAACCTAATAGGAACAGTGATAAAAAGAGTCGTTTTTCTGACGACACAATAGAATTAATTCCCCTATTTTATAATACTTTTATAATAGAGTTTTGCCAGGTGCATTAGAATTAGACTATTTGAAATTTTCGTAGTGCAACATTAGAGAATTTAACAGTCTTATATATGTGATAAATATATTGTGAAAAGGTATTGCCGGTTTTTTTTAAACTTAATTATTAAAACTTTAATTAAAAAATAAATAAACTTATTAATTAATACAAATATGGATCATTTTTTTAGAATGCGAATTAATATATTTTAAAATTTAAAAAAAAATATTTATAGATTTTAGAGTTTCGATCCTTATTATTTTTAATACCGAAAAATAAAAAAAAAGAACAAGCTCTAAAATAAAGCTTTTGATTCTCAAAAGTTAGGTAAATAGGTACTGATGGTAAATCGTCAATATTAATAATGATCTTATTAAGAATGTAGGGAATCAATATGTTACTGAATAAAATCTGAGTATGTATAAGTTTTTTAATATTTTTTTTTTAGAGTTATACTTCATCAGTTAAATAAAAGTTGAAACTTCTTAAAAATTTTGTTTAAACCCTCACAAAATTTCCTGTCCTAAGCCTACTAATAATACATTTAGTTTAAAATTCATTATCGCATCAAGGTTTTACTCATCTTCAACAAGAATATTCTTTTGTTCTAATTTTCACCAGCTTAGTATTTTAATTATTTAGAGTTATTACTTTTGAGTTTCAGAAATTAACTAAAGTTGTCAACTAATGCTTTTCTATACCAAGTATGTTAAAAACTGCCTTTCAGATTTCTTACAACATACAAACCATAGCCTTAAAATAATTTGTAATTTAAAAAGTGCCACGTGTAATTTTATTCTAATAACAGCAAAAAAAAAAAAAAAAAAAAAAATCAANAAAATTCGAAAAAATTCATCATTTATAAAATCGTTTGCTCAAAACATTAAGTTCATTTTTATTCTCATTCATCAGTTTGTTTCCTTAAACTTCGATTTAAAAAATATATAATTTCGTTCCTAAAATACATAATTATTATAATTTTACGTAAGCACTTTTTGTTAATACGTAAATCTTAACGAAGTGAACGTAGACCTAGATTTGAAAAATAATTAGTTGCACTAGGGAAAAAAAATTAAGCTTAGGAATGCAAAATGTGGGACACAAAAAGATGTAATAAACGAGTTATATATAATTTTACTTGCTCTTTTATACGTAACGATAACCTTATATTATATTACTGTTCAAATTGGAAATTGTTTTTCTCTTTTTTCTTTTATATTCTTTAATATTATTAATTCTTTTTTTATTCCTTAAAAAATTTCGAAACAAATGTTAAGATTTCGATAACAATGGATAAATAGTCATTATTTAAAACAAAAATGAAAATTTGCATTAAAAGAAAACCCCTGCAAATTACAATAAATTCCAAACAAATTAGAATTTCGAAAAAGAAAAAAAGCTCATTAATAAATTAAAGTGGTCTTTTCAGCACGTTAAGGGGCCCGGATAGTCTGGCTGGTAGGGAGTTGGCGTCCAAGAGGTCAATGAGTTCGATTCCCAAATACCGTAGACTTTCCGTGTACTAAATGGTGACCAGTGTACGCTAAACCTGTCGAGGTTACTATGTCCTCCAAGTTCCCATAACAAATCAATACCTCTGGGTCATGCTCTGATTCTGACCAAAATTATTTTTTAACTGATTATTTTTGGTATGCTTGAAACATGTCGACAGTCATTTCAATTCTGTATATTTTTGAAGTGTATGAAGTTTTCTGTCAGGTAACATAGTTGAAAACAGAATTCAATATTTTTTTAATATTTATTTTTAAAAAAAATCTGTTTCTTTTTTGGCATACAATAAGTAAATTTTGTAAAAAAAAAAAAAAAAAAAATGAATGATCGCTCTAATGACATGATTAATGAAAAATGATATTATAAAATGAATGTTGATGATCAAGACCTTATCTGCCACACTACGCAGTCAATATATTTCTTCCATAATCGTTCTAATTGTCTTGTTGATGGCTTAGCATAAAGTTATAAATTTATTACTATATATTATATATTTTAAAATTACTATCGAACAGTAATTTTAAGACACTTAAATAAACATCATAACAATAAGCGATGATTGTACGGTTAGTTTTAATACTGCTTATTTTGGCAAATATAAATACTATATATTTATTTTGTACATATCACACTATAAGATTATAATTGAGTATTAAATGACTAGAAAATACTTTAACCCTCAAACATTACTCGCACTTCAACTTGCATTCATTTCAGGGGACCAGGATCGACAGTTGGCATCCTTAAACCACCAATTGCTGATATTATGATAGATAGAATGCTTAATTTTTGGTTGATTTAGCAATTTACAAATGTGACATACATAATGTCCATTATAATCTAAGCGATAACTTTTCTTCCATTCAAAATAGCTGTTATATTTCTTTTCATCTTTGGCAACGTGTAGTAAATAGTGACCGAGTTCTTTGGGAGATTTGAAGGATAAAGCATCGATGTATGAAAAAGGTGGAGCAACCTTCGAATAATTTGCTCCTCCAAACACCACAGGCACCATATCAGTGCTTAGGATGCGGAAAAGCTTTTCCGTGGCATAATCTTTACAAATGGAATTTTCAAACGACAAATAAAATTTGTAAATTTTCCCTAACTTCTCATAACAATCGTCAGACATTTTTGGCAAGCAAGTGAATTTTCCGCAAGTTCCGTAAATATCAACTGGAATAACATTCTGCAATTCTTTAACGAATTCTTCTCGCTTACCAGGAGTGTTGCAGTTACTTACGAGCCACGCAACCATTCTTCTTTTATTACGGAAATGATTTACATGATTTGAAATAATTGTCGTTTGCTTTTTTACTAATGGAGATAGTATGATTTCCGAATCATACCGATAGGTGGCAGTCCAATTGAAGAGTCCATCAAGATTCTTCAAAATGTCAGGCGTGTGTGGAGGAGATTCGTGGTGTAAAAGAACCCAAGCTTGATTCTTCGTTCTAAAAGATGGCATATCTTTTAAGTTGATGTCTCGCAAATGGAACAGTATAGCATCACTTCTGTTTAAATAATCTCGATTTGACGTAACAATACAATGATTTGTTGAACAGCCTAAACTAGAATATTTTGGCACGTAGTCGGTGATGCCGAAGAATTTTGTCCACAGCATTATTATTTTGTGGTTTTGTAAATGATTTGCAGTGTCTGAGAGTATTTTGACATGAGTCCAATGTTTTTTTACCCAAGGGTCTACAGTGATGCTTTTAGTTTCTGTTTCAGAGCCACTCTTCCAAAATGAAAAGGTGAAGAAAGCAGAAATCAAAAACGCACTAATAAGAAGTCTCTTAACACTTTTCGTGGACTTGAGAACCATGATGCCTTGGGTCACGCTGCAATAAAGTGATAATAAAATAATAGCAATAAAGTGAAATAAACAGAGATATCGTATAATAAAATGAGCACAAAAGATCAATGAAATGCAATCTAAAAAAATAAAATTGATTGTTTGAAACAAAATGCCCCTATGCAACATGAAAGGGAAAATAAACGTTCAAAAGGTAGTTTCCGTTGTTTCAAAAACTATTTTTTCCAGTGGTAGCAAAGACAGCGTATTAATATTTCAATGAATTAGAATAAAAATTACTTTTTTAACACCACTACTTATAAATATTTTAAACTGTAAATTAAAGGTCAGATAAAGAAATGGTCAAAATCCTTATGTAGTTTTACAATGTCTTTTATTTTTTAATTGGATTTAGTTTGCTGCCACAGATAAATGTATTTCGCACATATCTCAAATGTTGAAGGGTTATGTCGTAAGTACTAAATATACTAATGTAAGTATAAAGTATTATATTGATAGATTTTCCCCTAGTAAGGGACGTGTAGCGGAGAAAATTGATAGTAGTAAATTTTGACTATCATGAGTGTTTACCGCGAGCAAAAGCATCATGCCAAGTGATGTTGAATACAGTTAATCTCTATTCTGATAGGATGAACTACGATAAACGTGTTTTGCTTAGTTTAATAACGTAAAGTCATCGGAGAAGACGGCAATTAATAATAATAAATAAAAAATAATAGTAAATAAAGTATGAAGCAGAGATAAATAAAAGGATATGTTAATCGATTAGACTTATACATTTATAGATGGATGCAGTTAGAATAAGATCTTTTTAATTTGATCGAAGATTGTATAATATATTATATCATCTTATTCTCTATCATCTGCGATCAAATTGAAATCTCACAATTCAAGATTCTCGGATCAGCCAACAGAAATGAATTTTTATTTTAAGTTTAAAAATGTAACATATTTAAGTAACAATGTACTTAAATAAATTACTGTAAAACTCTCTGAATAATGGCCCGATATCTTCTCTTAATATTAACCTATAATATTCAAACTCGATCAGATATTATATTATAGTATACTATACAATCGTACCAAAGGAAATAATTATAGATAAATTAGGGGCACAATATGGTTCCATAGAAAAAGCGTGGGAAAGAACTTAAAGCTTAAAGTGGCTAAGCCGTCAATCAAATCTTTGATCAGAAATGAAATTAATAGTTTAGAAAAAGTTAAATAAATGTAATATTTTAAAATAACAAGTATTTTAAATTATCTTTTGTCTTTCTAAGCGGTGATCTTTATTTATAAAATTTATTCATGTTTTTTTTTTTTTAAATTTTTTTTACAATAAATTTAGATTACCCGAGAATAAAAATCCATGAAAAGTACATAAATTAATAAAATTATATTTCTAGGGTACTATTTATTAAAATAATGTTTTACTAGTTAAAGATTATTATATCTGTGGAATGAAAATACCACAATACAAAGTAATTCCAAGTTTCTTTCATTTGCAATGCGAAAATACTAATATAAAAAATTTTGTTATTTTGCAATCTTTTGATCGCTTTGGATATTACTTTAAAAATAATGCTTGACAGTTATGTTAAATATTTTTAAAAATATAATATGAAAATGATTCTACAATGCAGAATTTTATTCAAAGTTAATAAGAATAAGGAAAAACAAGTAGAAGAACAAATTATGCCTAACTTTGATTTCAGTTATTTGAGTTTCCGTTTTGCAAGTAGATAGAGCAATTTTGAATTTTAGTTTTCGTGGAGTCATTTTCGACACGATATTTGCTACCGCTGCACTCCTGCTACCGCTATATGGCATTAATTTATGCTTTGTTGTATTTTATGTAAGGTTTAGCGTCACATGATGAAAGTATGACGAATTTAAAAGTAAGTGATTTTATTCCATGATTCAGCTATTATTATTCAGAATGTGAAACTATATTAGGGTTAAAAAAATTGTTATGTTTTTTCTTATTTAAAAAAAGAAAGAAAGAAAAGTAATATATTGTAGTTTATAAAGCTTGAAATAGGCTCAAATATTCTACGCCTCTCATTTGCCTAGTTTAACCAACTATGACAGAACTCAACGATTTCGGAAATATTAATCGAATTTATTAATTCCCATTTAAGATTTTTGCCTGGGCATAAAATTTAGGTAGATGAAATGTACTTATAAATTATTTTTATGCAATTAAAGTGTATTTAATAAAACCTTCAATTTTTTAAAAGTCTACCAATGACGCCTAAGTTAAATGAATCTGAATACTGAGTTGTGCGCTATTTTGTGTTAAAATTTTTCTGTTATGAAATTTTAATTATTATATTAATGCTGCATTATTTTATTCACTTGACAAATTTTGTCGCTATAAAAAATAACAAGCACCTCCGACAGCTATTTTTCTAAAGTTTATGCGATTTTTTTTTTTTTGCATGTTGAAAATTATTTAAAGTATCACCTAAATACTCTTTCACTATTTTTGATAAAGACCTTAAATAATTATTTTCAGCGTATTATTCCTGTTAAATTCACAATTAAATAATTGTTTAGATCTAAGACAAATATTTCACGAGTGAAATATTTGTCTTAGAAATTTCCTGAATTGTAGAGATTTCCGGAAATAATAAAAACTTTTTAAAGCTTTCATTTATTTAAAAAAAAAAAAAAAAACTCATTATTTTTTCCTTTTAAAAGTCGAATGTTGGTTGTAATAATTTGGTATTATTGCTCGGTGAATTTCTTTTTTTCCATATGCTAAAATAGTAAATTTCATTTCGAGGTACATTACAGAGAAGATAGGCAGACAAATACAACAGGATGGAAGAGGACATCAAACTAAGGCTCATATCTGCTGAGTTCACTATGAATAAATTGTAAAATACATTGCATGATAATTGTAAAATAAATAAACAAAATATTTATTTGATTTAAGATTTATTTCTATATTTNATTCGGCCTGGGTATTGCCTGGACAGACCCCTGATGGATGAACTACGATAAACGTGTTTTGCTTAGTTTAATAACTAAAGTCATCGGAGAAGACGGCAAATAATAATAAATAAAAAATAATAGTAAATAAAGTATGAAGCAGAGATAAATAAAAGTATATGTTAATCGACTAGACTTATGCATTTATAGATGGATGCAGTTAGATTAAGATCTTCTTAATTTGATCGAAGATTGTAGAATATATGATATCATTTTTTTCTCTATCATCTGCGATCAAGTTGAAATCTTACAATTCAAGATTCTCTGATTAGCCTACAGAAATGAATTTATATTTTAAGTTCTACAGTTTAAAAAAGTAACATAGTTAATTATCTTACTTAAATAAATTACTGTAAGACTCTCTGAATACGGCCGATATCTTCCCTAAATATTAACTTATATAAATAATATTATACTAGTCAAAAATTATTATAAATCTGGAATGAAAATAACACCACAATACACAGTAATTCTAAGTTTCTTTCATTCGTAATGTAAAATACTAATATTTAAAAAATTTTGATGGCTCTTTTGATGGTTTTGGATATTTTCTTAAAAAAATAATGCTTGATAGTTAAGTTAAATATTTGTAAAAATATAATATGAAAATGATTCTACAATGCAGCATTTTATTCAAGGTTAATTTGAATAAGAAAAAACAAATAGAAGCAAAAAATAGGTGCATAAGTTATGCCTGACTTTGATTTCAGTTATTTGGGTTTCCATTTTGTAAGTAGATTAATTTTCGTGGAGTCATTTTCGACACGAGATTTGCTACCGCAACACTTAAAGCTATATGGCATTAATTTATGCTTTGTTGTATTTTATGAAAGGTTTAGCGTCACATGATGAAAGTATGACGAATTTAAAAGTAAATGATTGTATTCCATGATTCAGCTATTGTTATTCAGAATGTGAAACTACAATAGGGTTAAAAAAATTTTTATGTTTTTTCTTATTAAAAAAAAGAAAGAAAGAAAAGTAATATATTGTAGTTTATAAAGCTCGAAATAGGCTCAAATATTCTACGCCTCTCATTTGCCTAGTTTAACCAACTATGACAGAACTCAACGATTTGGGAAATACTAATCGAATTTATTAATTCCCAGTTAAGATTTTTGCCTGAGCATAAAATTTAGGTAGATGAAATGTGCTTATGAATTATTGTTATGCAGTTAAAGCGTCTTTAATAAAACCTTGAATTTTTTTAAAGTTTGCCAATGACGCCTAAGTTAAATGAATAATTATCTGAAATACTGAGTAGTGCGCTATTTTGTGTTAAAATTTTTCTGTTATGAAATTTTAATTATGATATTAATACTGCATTATTTTATTCACTTGACAAATTTTGTCGCTATAAAAAATAAGAAGCACCTCCGACTGCTATTTTTCAAAAGTTTATACGATTTTTTTTTTTTTTTTGCATGTTGAAAATTATTTAAAGTAACACCTAAATACTGTTTCACTATTTTTGATAAAGACCTTAAATAATTATTTTCAGCGTATTATTCCTGTTAAATTCACAATTAAATAATTGTTCAGATCTAAGAAATATATTTCACGAGTGAAATATTTGTCTTAGAAATTTCCTGAATTGTAGAGATTTCCTCCGGAAATAATAAAAACTTCTTAAAGTTTTCATTTATTTAAAATAAAATAAAAATAAAAAATAAAAAAAAACCCTCATTATTTTTTCCTTTTAAAAGTCGAATGTTGGTTGTAATAATTTGGTATTATTGCTCGGTGAATTTCTTTTTTTCCATATGCTAAAATAGTAAATTTCATTTCGAGGTACATTACAGAGAAGATAGGCAGACAAATACAACAGGATGGAAGAGGACATCAAACTAAGGCTCATATCTGCTGAGTTCACTATGAATAAATTGTAAAATACATTGCATGATAATTGTAAAATAAATAAACAAAATATTTATTTGATTTAAGATTTATTTCTATATTTAAAAGAAATTTGTTGCGTTTAGTGTTGTTCTGGATCAAAAATTGTAAGGTATTTTTTGTTTAAATATC